GAGGAGACTGAAGTGGAGATATTTAGTGTCAGTTTTGTAGCTGAGAGGAAAAACAGCAACAGGATGACGGAAGAAACAAGTAATTTATCAAAAACCTCACCGCTGGTTATACCAAGGGTTTAGTTTAGCTGTTTTCTTCTGAAAGCAAGAGGGACTGTGTGTTTTGGTGTGCACCGACAGACATGATAGAACCTCCTGCTTCGTTTCCACATCAACCTTATCTCTGAAAATATGTCTGCAGGAATTGTCTTCTCGTTTTGACAGGCAGATAATTTATGCAGCGGGGGGGAGCTGTAAGGCTTCAGAGTGCTGATTGCTGAGCTGGTGAAACAAACTGTGGCATTTAACTAAAGCGCACACACACGCTCGGAGAGTCCCATAACCCGCTACATAGAACAGCTGACATTTTGGAAAAACACAGCACAGCATTTAATTCCTCCACTGTCTCTGCATGTCTTCGAGGTGCAAAGTCATTTGAATTGCGGCAAAGGGAGTCCACCCGGCTCAGTCTACTGCAGTGCAATTATTAGTTTAAAATCAGGCGAGAGACTCACAGGGCCCGATGTTCAGTGATAAATACTTTACAACTCGCCATCAAAGATTTACAGCAGCCGGAATGTTTCTGACCAATAAGACGTGCCAGGAAGACCAAAGTGCAGCTTCACAAGATTCTTTTTAAAGATCTGACCAGCAAACTGGACTTCATAACATATAAAAAACTGAAATTGTTATACTATTATTAACTATTATAATAATTTTCTGATTTCAAGCCTTTGTTGTACAGTGTTTTGGCAAGAATCTGGCAATACGATATGTATCACAATACAGACGTTACGATTGAGTGTATTGCGATACTGTAAGCAATTTTTTACTAATTAATTAAGTATTTTAATCAAAACTACTTTTATCAAAGTAAAACATTATTACAGTCCATGTAACATCAAACATCAGATCAATCTAGCAATTGGGGCTTTTAAGTATAACTAAACCTTTAAATTCTGTGAGAGTGAATTATATAGGGGGCATGGCCTTGTGGCTATGGAGTGTGTGGTGCAAGAGGTAACACTGATCAGAGTGACAAACTAACTACTGCTCAGTATAGCAGGAATATAGCTGTCAGTAGCCAGATCTAACCAGCCATGAGTAGCTACTATCAGACTCTCTGTATCACCTAAGGTGAAACTCCCCAACAGTTTTTGGCCAGCAGACTTCGACAGCACACACCTGGCTGTTTAGGCTCATTTCATTTTCACAATTTAAGCCTTTCAGACAAATAAAAAGGGACATGAAAACTATTAGGCTGATGGAGAAAGTTTCAGATTCACCAGATTCAACTCTGCGCTCAACAAATGTCAGGTTTGCAAATGAGGAATACAAACCACACAACTCCTTAAAATCTGGAAACATACACACACACAAATCTGTTACTGCATGTTCTTAAATTATAAATTGCCAAAACCATATACACAAACGAGCACAAGATTTCTCTACAATGTGATGCTTTACATTAAATGAATATTTCAACATTTGATGAAATGTAAGTATTCACATTCATGTCCAGATTTAAATGAAAAGACTCTCAACATCTACAAGGTGAACATGAAGCTACCTGCAGAAGCCGGTTAGGAGTGACTTCCTATTCACTCCAAGAATTCCCTGCACCCCACCAAGAAATCAACCTTGGTTCTAGTGACTGTTACTTAAGACCAACCAGTGTTAAGACCAATGGGCATCCTGTGAGGAACTACTGGCAGCTACGGCATGAGCTTATGGCCGTGTTTAACGTAGGTTTGTAGCGTTAAACCATAAACCAATGCTGCTAGGCATCAGTTCTCCTTAAACTGGAGAGTACTTTTCTCCACTGAAAAAGATATTTCACTCTTCATCCGACTGGGCTTCAAGGTAAGAGTTTGGGAAATATGGTTAAAGGTTTATTGATCTGAGAATTGCGTTAGATGGGTGATAGACATACGCAGCAATTCACCTGGCCCTTTTCCAAACGACTCCCAGTTGGTTCGTGTAACAAAATCGCTTTTTCCACTTTGGTTTTTGCCATAGATTAAACAGATAGACTAGACCCGGGACACTGCCTTCCTGAGCAGTGTGGTGCGTCCCAAAAGGTTTATATTTACGTCCTGCTCTCAGAATATAACAACTATGATGACTACAACACAATCTAGTCTTCAAGTTCAAGTTTATTCAGTATCAAAATGTATTACTTTGACATTATCAATCCAAACTGTGTACCCGCACTGAATATACAGTGGATAAAATATTGTTTCTAAGCAGTACTCAGGACTGACCAGTGACAGACTTAAACCTGTAAGATAGGAAGTGATGCCTTTATTTTGGCCCAGGATTTACCTGTCGTTCTTATCCAACGGAGGAAACAAGGTGTTTGTCAAAGAGTTTATCTCCCTGACAGACTCTTCCCCTTAACATTCACAGACCAGAAACAAACAAATGTTGTGTGACGCCAGCACAGTCAGAGTCAAAATAAAACAGGTAGAATTTGTCCAAAAGAGGTCACTTAAACTGCTCTCTGTGTGTTTTTCTTTTAATGATTATGTAATTTTGTGGCAGCAAATTCAATTCCTGTTGAAACAGCCGGCGGCATCTGATTTGGCCCACAGCCGCCACTATTCTCATCCTCAGACTGAAATGAGTGAGGCTGGCTGGGAGCAATGGCATCTGCATTCCTCGGCCCCCTCCCCTCCCCCTCCAGCCTCCTCCCCCAACCCCCCTTCATATCCTGTCGTTCCACACATTCCAGCACCTAGAGCCGAAGCCCAAACTGGAGCTTTAAATTCACCTTCGCTCTGTTGAGTCTGCAAGTCAAAGGCTACATCCCAGTGTGTCAGACCATCTTTGTGTGCGTCTCTCTCTGTCTGTGTGCACTGTGAGGACTGTATCTGTGTGAGGACCAGTTTAACCTGGAGAATGAGCATGTGAGGGACGTGGGCACATTTTGAAAAGTGAGAACATTTTTAGAAAGTGAGGACATCTTTTTTTTTTTATCGATTGAGGACATAAAATAAGGATATTTTTTAGAAAATGTATTTTGTAGTTAGGACATTTTGGAAGGTGGGACCATTTTTGAAAGAAAAGCAATTTTTTATAAATTGACATTTTTTCAATTTTATTTTCTAAAATTTGGAAATTTGTGGGAAACGTGAAGACGATTTTAAAAAGGAGACATTTTAGAAAGTGAGGATTCTTTTTGCTGGGTGTGGAATGTGGGAAGAATTTGATCTATGTTTTTCACTCAACCTGTACTATACTACAGCACATTTAAAAACCCAAGTTACAATCAAAGACTACTATTATTATTATGATTACTTAGGTTAGTGTTGCTAGGGGCTAGGGAATGCATTATTTAAATGTGAATCCTCATAATTATAGAAGTACAAATGCGTGTGGTGTGTGTGCCTGAATGTGTAAATATAAATGTGAATGTCTATCTATTCTTTTCCCACAAACACCAGTCGTCTGGGTAGAATTGATGGAGACAAAGAGGTTACAGATGATGGGAGGAGCCTAAAGCTAGGCATACACTTCACAGCTGGGCCTGTTTCTCACCTGATTTTTTAGCTGCACGACTCACTTCAGAGTTGGGGACGAAATTTCAGCTTCACTGGGTGTATTTTGCCGTGCAGAGTACGGGGGGGAGCTAGGACCAACAGACTTTGCCCAAACAGCTGCAGGAGATAAGGATGCATTTCTGTGTACGATGTCAGGCTCCTGCACAGTTGAATCATAGCCACGAATTGATTCTCCAAAGTCTGTGCCTATTGTCTTTGAGCCTGCTCAAATTGGCAAACAGAGCGTCTGAAAGTGCCATGGTGAAAAGGCGTGTCAGGATGGAAAATAAGGAGGCTGGTCACTGTGGCAACAGCATGGGAGCCTCTTTGATGTTTCCCCCTCCTTGAATGGCAGGCGATAAAAACAGCATGATTCTGCCTCGCAATTGACCCTTCCTAGGTCACACCTCTTTTTTCTCTGTGCTCCAATAACAGTTTTGAGACAGAGGTTCCAAAAGGGGTGGGACAGAGAAAGGGTCAGATGCAAACATTTCTGTGACTTCCTGTTTATTCTTTGAAGGTTGCAGGAAACTGTCCGACTTGACTGCAGCTTTTTGTCACCGCCTCCTGCTGCTGCTGCCGCCTGATCTGGTTCACTTTCCAGGCGAGGTGCAGTTCATCCCGAACAAGCCTAATTTTCTACCTGCCTCAGAGCTTTCAAACAAAACTTTATTCACAATTGTCAATAGCCAGAATGGTCTGCAGGGGCTGATGGCCAATTATATTTTCTAATTTACATGTACAGATTGAGCACTGAGGTTGTAGGCTTTGGCTTTATGTCACAGACAATGTACTCGTACTGTAGGAGTTGGAATTCAACATCATTTATAAAATGGTACAGTGTATGCCTAGTTTTAGGGGCCTTTAGACTTAAATCTTGTTGAATACAGCACTTGTTGTGTCCTGTTGTATATCATTTTCTGTACTGCCCTGTTTATCAGTGTTGGTTACCAGACGTTTTCGTACCCTTAGTTCAGATGTGGCATAAATCCTGAGTGTTGCCGTTAAAGCAACATTAGGCTCTTATTTCTATTTCCACCAGAAAGCATCTGAAAAATGCACAAAGCTGAGATTTGCAGGGGGATTGGGGAGGCAGACTGTGGAAAATAACAGAGGATCAGGCCAGTGGAATGAAACCTGCAGATGTAGATTTATTAGTCCCTTTGTAGTGTGTGGTTTTAGTCAAACTTCACTTTCATTTCCATCTTAACTAGACTCCTTGTTATCAATTCACTACCATCCTCTTTCTTATCCTGTTCCAGGCCAAAGCTCATATTTGACTTATCTTAATACAGGCCTCATGTGTGTCCAGAATCCAAGATCTTAATATCTACCTACCTCCATAATTTCAGTCTGAACTTTTCACTCCTCTTATTTATTTATCTCAGTCTAAAGTCCTCTTGTGTCCTGTCTCTGCAGGCCCTGTTGAAGATGGACTGTCAGGGTCTCGTGGCCAGACTGGTGATGGACTTTGTCCTCTTGACCACGGCGGTGGAGGTGGCAGGACGCTGGAGGGAGCTGGCTGAGAGGCTCGCCAAGGTTTCACGCCAGCAGATGGATGCTTACGAGGCACCACATCGCGACAAGAACGGGGTAGTGGACAGTGAGGTACATCTGTCTTACACAAGATTACTTTTCACAATCAAAGCCTGTGTTTTTAGATAATTCTCTTGAAATGCCAAAGCAACAGTGAGGGGTGAAACCCTCTTTTATTGTCTGGTATGTACTGGGTCAGCCTGACAAATGTACAGAGTGATTACTGCTCATGAAAGAAATCAACAGTACTAAAATGTAACATAAAGAGGAGGTTTGGGTGGGAAGCATGAGTGTGACAGCAGAGTAACAGTAAGAAGTGACAGGTTAAAATGGCTATGCTGTGTACCTGTGTGAATATAATCAGACATTACCAGTTGGTTGCTAGGTGTACAGTGATTGTGGAGCATGAATCAAACAGCTGCCAGTCAGCTAACACAAGCACAACCTCAGGGCTAAGTATAAACTAACACTGTGCTCCAGACGATTTCACAGTATTTTAATGGAAAATGATCTCCTTAATATTTTTATTTTCTACAGCAGGACAGTAGTGTATACTGAAGCTTTGGTGTGTGTCAGCATTTTTTAACCAAAGGTCAAAGATCAACTCCAATGTGACATCATAAACTCCAAAAACTATAAATACATAAACTTATAAACACTTGTTAGTTGTTATTCAACACCATACCTCAGGAACAGGAGGGGAGATTGTGACCATAACTCACAGTTGGTCAGACACGGAATTGGTGACTCAAAGGTCAAAGGTCGCTGTGACCTCAAAAAAGGTTTTTAGCCATAATTCTAGAATGAATTTGCACATGTACAAGGAGTACACAGAGTTTTCAGACCTGTGAGTGTATCAGCAGATCATGGGATGTTTGTTCTCTGACTGTCTGCAGGCCATGTGGAAACCCGCGTATGACTTCCTGGTCACATGGGCCGCTCAGATAGGCGATAGCTACAGGGACGTGATCCAGGAGTTGCACATGGGGTTGGACAAGATGAAGAACCCGATCACCAAACGCTGGAAGCACCTGACCGGCACACTCATCCTGGTCAATTGCCTGGACGCCCTGCGGAGCTCTGCCTTCAGCCCTGCTGCTCAGGACGACTATGCCATCTAAACTGGATGGTAATCCTGCTGGTGTTTCCCCACACCAGCTAACCTCGCTCTGCTGGAGCAAACAGTTACACAGTTTGAAATGCTGCATTATCAGCTGTCCGCTAACTCTGAATGCCACTACTGCTGTCCTATGTTGTTGTTCTGTTCCTGCGGCGCCGCCTTCAGCTCCTCGTGCCCAGAGGAACATGGTCGAACTGCTCCCACGCCTCCGTGGCTGCTGGCCAAAAATCACAGTGCTGTAGGGAGCTTGCAGTATTCAGAAATACTCTTTTAATAGTTCCTGTCTTGCATAGTTATGTATTTTTGTACTCTTATTATGGCACAGCATTTTTTAAAGCAAATCGTTGAACCCTTTGGTGAAGAACAGTGGATTAAATGAAAGACACTTTTTTAAGAAGAGACACTTTTTGATATTGTATCCTTGTTACCATAGCCTTGTCACACGTGTCAAATCTGTTCTATTTATTTGTACATGAAAGAGAAAAGATACTTCTTCTTCTTAAAGTTGATTCTCATTGTGGTTGTCAGTTCAGAGATCCAAATATTCTGCTGTAAGACCTGGCACTGAAGAAAACAGAATTTATTAATCAGATTTTAATCAAGCTCTCCACTAGTGCCAGACATTGAGTCAATTAATTGAATATTCTTTTTACTGAACATTAATCAACAACAGATTAAATAGACTAAATTGATTGTTTGCAGCAAGAATGTCTCATTTGTCAACTCAAGGTCCTTGTTCTGGTGCTTTTGACCATATCACCTGGTCTTCATCAGCATGTCAGTTTGCTCAGCTGTGGTAGAGCTACTGTAGATGTCTATCTTTCCACAACTCTGAGAGCCGCCAGGGCTTCTCACCCATGTTGACTTAAACTCAACAGACCCTTTCCACAGCAGACACTTTGACTTGTCAAAGCAGAAAAGGTACAGATGGAATTAATAATGATGATGATTGATGGCTGCATTCCATGTAGGTGAACCAGTTCCACAGTCTTGTATTTTGCATTCTTACTCACTGACAACAATTAACGCAAATTCCACCAATCCCTGGGAATTTTGCACAACTTTGCAAATTTGACCAATTTTTGTAGTTTCCTGCGTAAATGTTGAGCCACACGTCACTAAACTTGCTTCCTTGTTTCTAGTTGTGACGATGCAGACCATATGCAACGCGAACGTCTCACTTTCACCTTCCAAACAATGTGATTTTATTCTTTTATTGAAATAACTTATACACAAATATTCAAAACATTTTTTTTTTTAAAGCTGCAGTGACATCAGGCATTTTATGCTGCAACAATCTAAAAAAAGGTCTGCGAAATCCTGGAAGGACTGACTGGGACACTTGGAGCCATTATTAGTTTTATAAATTACAGCTGTGCTTTTCCTGCTTTGGCAAGTCAAAATGTCTGCCATGAAAAGGGTCTATCAGCAGATAAGGACCACATGATATGAATGAAAGCTTAAAACAACTGAGTAAGTAGACTGTGAGTTGAGATGTTCTGTCAATTAAAGGTCTATTGATTTAATCGATTCAAATAATTATTCTTTTAGCCTTACCCTCCAATAACAACCAAACCTTATCCACTCATTTCTCTTCTCTTTATCTCCTGCCTTTTTTTTGTTTTTCTGATAGATGTACTTTTTTACCAAAGCTTGCCAAAAATGAAAACAGCCCTCCACAGATGACCTTGTACAATGTTGAGACCACTGTTGTAAAGACACTGTCTGTCAAAGCTTCTGGTTAGGTTTTGTCTCAGTGCAGCATACTGTATAATGTGGTAGTAACACATCCAGTGGTGAGTTTGAAAACCTTTTTGTGACTACATACTTTTGTGGAAAATATCCTAAATAAAATGTAAATATTTGTACACGTTATTTCTCAGATTCTACCTGCTTCTGGCTGCTGTCTGTTGTGATCATGCCCCTGTAAAAGTACACACCGACCAGAACATCACAGTTAGGAGCTTTCCTTATCTGAAACAGCAGCAGCAGGCCAACATGTTTCATGTGTTATCAGCGTTCTGTTTGAGAAAAACAGTCCAAAAATACACTATGTGAGAAAATGTGCAGTGTAAGGTAAACAGGATTGTACAGGAGGGACAGACAGAGCTCAGGCCAGCTTCTGGATACAGGCAGAATAAGGAAGACTAGTGAAAAGCAGGATTCTGCAGCATACAACTCTTGATGACCTCCAGCAGCATGTCGGCTTATCTTCATGATGCCCTCTGCATTTCACATCTTATGTTTAAGAGATCAAACTGCTGCAGCCTCAGAAATTGTCTTACATTGTCATACATAGCTTAACTTTTATTTCACAGCAGCAGAGCTCTCCTGGAGGTAGAAATAATCACATTCTTGCTAGAACAAGAATGAAAGTCTACTGCCACATTAGCATCCTGTCAGCATGTGTCTGGTTAGTGTGTCAATAGGCAGGTTAACAGCCTGTGGATGTAACCATACAGACATTTTTGTCAACATGCTCACATTGATCATGTTTTGGTATGTAATGTTCAATAAGAATGCCAACTGTAGCACTGTCAACATGTAATGATGCTTCTTTCTATTCATGCCGTACAGTCCGTAATCAAAAGCCGTTGAGTTAGGCTCTGAATTACAACTTTAAAATTATCTTTTTTGTCTGAGATACCGGGGTTTCTGCTACATTACATCCCACATGGTCAAAAAGGGTCAACAAAGCAGTGTCAAAATGCCTGCAAAGTCAGTTACGTAAAGTCATCCAGTATTAGTACAATGTACTTGCAGTCAGTTAATTGCACCTAAGCTGGAGGCAAGATGTCATCGGAAAAAAGGCTGACTTCCGGTGAGCCTTGGTATATCCTTCCCCTTGTCTATGGTCTGGACTTCCCTTTCTCTGACCTGTACTCTCAGAACCCCCAAGGAAGAGGGTGGATACATTTTTTTAAGCATCACAACCCACGAGAAATGACTCATGTCACTATACGAATTTCATCCATTCCGTCTGATAACGTTTGGAAAGTTGCACGATTTAATCATTTTATCCCTATTCAAGTTAAACTGGCAGAAGACCCTTCTGTACCCAGTTCTTTCTTAATACATCCATTTACTCTCCCGATGAGCCGAGTGAGGGGAAATTACCTAGGCAGTGGAGAAAGCCCCAGTCATCTGCCCGTTCTGCCCAAGGGAGCGCCCGGGGATTCCATGGAAAGCCTGGACTACACCCCTCAGAACGGAGCTGCTGAATGCTCGCTCCATTGCAAACGAGTTATGCTTAATGATATCATCATGGCTGATAAGTTAGACTTCCTGTTCCCAACTAAAACCTGGATAAGGAATATGGTTCATGACCCTCTCATTGAGCTCTGCCCAAAGGATTACGCTTACATCAGCTCACCCAGACTTTCTGCCCGCTGTGGAGGACTTGCTGTGATTGTTCACGAGCCACTTTGCTTGTCACTGGGTGAGTACTAGGTTGCTCTCCTCTTTTGAACACTAATTTTTGATGTATTTTAATTACTATTTTGTCCATTTGGCCTTCAGTGACTTTTTTGTCCTCTATCCTTAGGCTATCCAGACTTACTGCTGGTGATTTTAATATTCATATGGATGATATTTCAGACAAGTTTACCTCTAGTTTTATTCATATCACAGTCACTTAATCTCACTCAATGTTCGTCAGACCCTACACACAACAGAAGGCATACTCCTGACCTTTTTTCACTCTTGGTTTGATTACTGATTATTTGACCCATTACTGTTCACAACTGTACTTATTTGATTTGTCTTTTAATTCCTTACCCTGCCAGCATATTATTAACTCTCACAACCACCCTTCTTCAGTTTTCTGGCTCCTTGGTACAATCTTTTAATGAACACCGCCTTTCAGCACTGGATAAACTGGCCCCTATTTAAACTAGACCGGCTCCTTTGATCAATCCCTCCCCTTGGATAAATGACAACATTTGCTTTCTCAAGTTCCCTATCCTTATTTAAAATAACTTTTAATGAATTTCAGTAGTTTGGTAAAGGATGCCACAGTTATCTGCTTCTCTAATGTTGTCGGCACAATCCCAAAATTTGATTTGATGCTATCAGTAGTCCTGTTACTCCTACATCAACTGCTTTTTTTCTAAATTAATGACAAGATCAAAAATCTTCCCCTCACTTTCCCCTATCTCCTGCTCCTCTTGCTAACAATCCTGGAGAATTTCCCCTCAGTGCCTGAACTGGATCAAGAAAGGTGCCAGTACCCCAATTCAACTCAACCTTAACCCAAACACAACATAACTCTTACCAGTAGGAGTACATAACCAGCATTTCAGTACGCAGGGTTTTAGAAATACCAAGGCTGAAAAACTGAATTTGGGGTGTACACGTCAAAGCAAGTCAAATTATTTTTACGCGATTATTTCACAACTTTTATTGTGTACCCCTGGAAAAAATACTGACCTCCATACCTCAATGGTGGGTACGGCCATGCTTACCAGAGGTGGCGTTACTGAATGAGAAGAAAGGGTACTCATGTGGACAAAAATCAGAAGTGCCAGTGAGTAGTGGCTCATTTCAGGCATTGGTTTACTTGCTATAATACTCCATGATCTTACAAAAGGTTAACCGTAAAAAAACTTGCTTTTTGCCCCCTTGGCATCTTACCAGCATCTCTGTTTAAAAATGTAATTGGCTTTGTTGGTCCTTGTGTGCGCTATATAATGAATAATTCTTAAGTTGTTAATCAACGACTTATCAAAAAGTCTAATCTTGACCATTCTCTAGCCTATAATTCCTATGTTGACTTTTATAGCCTTCGTCTTAGAAAATGTGGTTGTTAAGTAGCTCACAACTGCTTTAGATGAGCACAATATCTTAAAGTTTCAGTCTGGTTTCTGCCTGGTTTCAGCTCTATTTTGCAAAACTGCGTTTAACCACACCTGTCTGAAGAGCAGCTCTGGCATTTTGTTATTTTTCTAGCACCACATGGAAGTTTGAAATGTGAAGTCATGTAGCCTGATGGTAGTGAACTTTTTGGAGCTGGATGTCTTACTAGTGTCTTGTTGGGATGAAGAAGATGAAGAGATTGATCATTGGTCATTGACTACAGTGACGCCAGATCTTAATTTGAATAAAAATGAGAGTGCACAGTGTCTCGATCAAAGGGGACAGGGGAAGACCAGTTTCTTTACTCTGATAATTGGGAGGATTTCTACATAAGATCGGCTGTAACTTTTAAGGCAAATTTTCTATCCACACTGTCTCTTCCCATTCCTCTGTCCTTTTACTGCCTCTTGCTCTCTGTGCCATTAAAGCAAGCAGACCTTAATTAAATACACAGATTAATGGAGGAGAAAAAAGAGCCAAAAGGAGTGGAATTAATTACAGCAGAGTATGGGCTGACATGCTTCAAATCCCAGCCTGGAGTGCTGGTAATGAGCTCCCCCAGGGTGACAGGGCTCACAGAACAGCACACAGCTCTGTACTCAGCTTTAAAATCCAGGGATAATCTGTACAAAGAGGGGACTCGGGACGCTCATTCAACATGTTGACTTTGCATTGTCAGGTCCAACATGTTCACGCTGTTACTTCCCTGAGATTTGGGTTTTTATTCGTATGCTCACTTGGCTTAAGGCTTTAGATTCCAAAGAACTGCCTTAAATATTCTACTTGCTGTATTATAAATTAGTGGTTTATTGTTTAAGTCTCATAAATACCTGCAGGTCTCACTTTATACACAGGTATAAATCATAGTGAAAAATTGGATTTTAATCTTCATTCTAGACGAATTACTTATTTGTTCTTAATGGCATGTGCTTAATATGCAAAAAAACCTGCGCCTGTTTCAAACGAAGCAACTTCGCTGTGTTGTTTTTTGTGGGATGTCCAATTTATATGTAGAAATGCACATTTGCAAAGGTGACTTGGTATGTTGTCGTAAAAGTGGCTCTCCCCCTGATTTTGCTCTGCCAATGTGGTGACCAAGCATAAATCAGGAAATCAAAGTTCCCTGGAAATGCAGAGAGGCCGTTCAGAAGCACACCAGTCATTTTTCTTCTTGCTCAAATCAAAAACCCATAATTTGTAAATAAAAGTCCCAGGAGTTTCAAGATTGAGTCAAGAGTCCAAATGGTCTGGAGAACAAGTTACCTTGCAACTCGCCAAATACTGCAGCTTGGTCAGCCAACGCAGAAATGTCTTAAAACCTGCATTCTATGTAAATTCCTGCAAGGGGAGCTCCACTGGCTGCAATAACACAGCAAGCCCATTCACTCTAAT